TCTCACAGCTGTGGCCAATACTTCTTCTGATAAACCTTGTCATATTTCTACTTACTCTTGAGCTATTGCCAAGATTTAATAGCCATTGTCAACAAACTATTTGGTCTGCCATTTGGAAAACCACTTACTCTTCACCTCTCTTTGGGGCAACAAATCTGGAAACAAATGTTAGCTGTTGATCAAATCATCTGGGTCACTTAGGGAGATGCCCATCCTCTGAAAAGACCAAACAGAGTTAAGCACCTTATAGAGACTGCACCAGACAGACTGCCACAAACCCTACACAGCATTTGAATCCTGTCCAGCATGGCAATAAATCTGCCTTCACAGACTGAGCTCAAAGTGAAGGACTCTATTTTCCTGACGCAGAGGTTACCACAGCATGCAAGACTTGGGAGTCATACCAAGAGCTGACCAATATTTCCCTGACAATTGATTAAATCAGACCTTTGATCACCGCTTGGGGCTATCGGTGGTGCCTCATCACTGCTGACACCCATTCGGGTCACGGTGTTGCTGTTCCAGAGTGACTGGCCAACTCCAGTGACACCACCGTGGTCCTTGAAAAACATCTGTTTGATGTTTATGGTTTTATGGACCATTTGCAGCCTAACAGTGGTGTCCCTTTTTTTTTTTTTTTTTTTTTTAATCACAAAAGCTACCAGAAAAATGGACTGGGAGTAGAGGTATTCAGTGGACCTTCCACACTTCCTACCATTGAAAGGGATCACTGATCATCGGAATAGGCTTCTCAAAAACTGACTCAAAAAGATTTCTGCCTCTATCTCCCTCACCTCCTCCTGGTCCACACATCTTAGTAAGGCAGTTCAGTTACTAAATATGGCTATTTCCAGAAAAGGATTAAGAGATTATCTCCTCTTGGCTGCTTCAGGGATAATTTTTAGTAAAAATATATAATAAGTAAGAATCTATCAATACAACCTACATACGATTATATACCCATATGAAAACCCAGGATTCTGCCCCGACCACTACTGGCATGACGGGTCCTTATTTAACCCAACAGCAACCCCCAGGACGTCTGGTGGTAGCCCTGCCAGAGGGAGCCTAGAAGATTCAAATATAATTCTGGTTTAGCCACCTGTATTGTTTTGTTGGACTGTCGTGATCCTAGATCAAAAGCATAATAACTACTTGGTTGACTACACAGCTCATTAAGACGCGTACCGTCCCACATGGGCAAAGGTAGAAAACACGCTAGGTCGCCACACGCATTTTTAAAAGCCCTTGACCTTCTTGCACCTGAATGTTTGGCAGCACAGAACTCCAGTAGGGTGTGAGTAGAAATAAGGTGGGGCTTTAGCTACGGAAATGGGACAAACTGATCTGTACCAGTGGAAGATCAACAGTGCAGTCTGATAATAAGGCACCTAGGAAGGAGGTACCTTAGGCCCTGAGAGGTGCAAAGGATGAAGGGATACTAATGATTATTTGTTTTTCAAAGCCACCCTGTCACCTTCCTCTGAAGGAAAACACCTTAGTGTTCCTCTCTCAAACTGTTGCAAGTGCCTTAAATTTAACTGACGACTGGGTCTACCAAATCCACCAGAGGCTCAAACCACAATCTGGTTGCCATTCCCCTTAGGCTTACTGAAAATTCTATCAGAAACAGCAGGGATGACGCCAGCTTCTGCCCCCAAATAACAACGATCAACATGTCCATTCCCATTGCCATCACTCAATCATTCCATGGAGTGAACAAATACCACCCAGTCTGCGGCATGGACAAACAGGAAAAGCTGGACAAACTGCCCTCAAGCAGTCTCTCCAAAGACAAACAAGGGACACAATTGTTTGACGTGAATCGGGAACGCTAAGGTTTACAAGCCAGCAAGGAGGTCGCAGGCACCATCAACCAGTGCTGCCTAACTAAACAGGTCCCACTTGGTGTCCCTAACAACTGTAAATAATACTTTCCTTCCAGAAGCCCCATGTGTACCTCTAGGACTGTACTTTTTGTATAGAACCAGATGTTAACTTCTCTCCTAAAAACAGCACGGCTTGTGCTTGTATTCTAGGAGTGGTCATAAGTGGTCATAATTCAACTGTTTATGAAAACATCCTCGATAGATCACTTAGCCCTTAGACAACTGCAAGGCTCTTTTCAGTATCAGGCTACCCTTGGTTCCTCAGAAGGGGTTCCTGGAGGGATAACTGACTTGTTATTCACACTCACCCCATGGGTAGTTATTCAATTAGCAAAGACGGAACGTAAAAAAGAATGAAATAATGCCACTTGTAGCAACATGGATGGAAATAAAGATTACATTACTAAATGAAGTCAGTCATAAAGAAAAAGACAAATACCATATGATATCACTTATGTGGAATTTAAAATATGACACAAATGAACTTATCTACGAAACAGAAACAGACTCACAGACAGAGAGAACAGACTTGTGGTTACCAAGGGGGAGGGGGAGTGGGGGAGGCACAGATTGGGAATTTGAGATTAGGAGATGCAAACTGTTACACTGATATATAGGATGAATAAACAACAAGGTCCTACTGTATAGCACAGGGAACTATATTCAATATTCTGTGATAAACCACAACGGAAAAGAATATAAAAAAGAATACATATATGTGTAACGGAATCACTTTGCTGCACACAGAAATTAACACAACATTGTAAATCAACTGTACTTCAATACATTTTTTTAAAAGAAAGAAAAGGCAGTACAAAATTTGTTTCTGACTCTAACTGAAGTCATCCATGACACCACTTCAGCGTTTGAAGGCATTCAGGTCAACATCAACCCACTGTCCATACATTGCTATGGACAATATAACTGCCTTATTCTTCCTCCCTGAGGGCCAAGACACGATCTGTACAGTCACTAAAATTCTTTGTGCCTGGACTGTCTTGTTGGATTGCCATCTTCCTAGACCAAAAGGACAATGACCACCTGGTGGAGGACACTGCTCACCAAGTTCCCCTACCATGGCCCAGGTAGACAAAAGTGGGAGATGTATAGGGTCTTTGTAAATTTTTGAAAATATCCTTAACCCTCTTCCATCTGAATCTTATGGAGGAAAGATCTCAGTGCCAGTGGGAAGGTCTCAGGCTGAGTGGAAAGGTTAATACAGGGACCTAAAAAGAAAGCCACCTCTTTCTAAGGTGGACCGTGATGACTTACGGCATTTGTTTGGTTAGTTGAGTCTGGAACCCCTGGTATGATCCAGGTTAATAATACAGGTTGGCCTCGTCTTGCTGTTCGGTGTCTTGTTGGGAGTAGCTCTATTTTTTAAGTGCTATAGGAAGCAAACTGACCAGATTTGATTCCAGCCTCAGCCAGTCAGATTAATCAGAGTGAACAGTGGAATGGTGTACTAATGGGAAAGTTGCCGGAAGCCAAGATAGTGTAGGAAGGAGGTTTGGATCTGTTGGGAGACAACTCCCCAATGGTTCTCTTGCATTTCTGCCTATCTTATGAGTGAGACACTGACTTCCCTTTTTTCCAGACTACCTTTTCAAAGGACCTAACCCTAACCCTAACCCTTGCATTTCAACCCTTGTATAGAAAGCAGCCTTTGAAAATAAAGATATTGTGTCCTTCCATAGCAAAGGGCGGGCTTGCTTACAGTCTTAGAAATAGTACTTCCCTCTTGAGCAATGAACACGCATGCTACCTGTCCAGTACGATAACAACACTATCTCCCTTTGGAAGAAAGGACAGAGATGCTTGCTGTGCTTTCTAAAAGATTCAGGTTCCCAAAGCTTAAGGTTCCTTTCCTGTAAGGCACTGTGTGTACAAGCGTCATCTGCAGGACGTGGGGCTCTGCAACTCGTATAAATGCTGATGTTTTGGCTAGTGCTTCTGCTGTGAGTGTTCAACTGTCCTTTGTCTGTGATCAGAAGTCCCATGTCTTCTAAAGTATCCATGAAACCACGGAAGGCTCAGGTGTTAGCTTGCAAGGAGGGTAAAATCTCAGCTCTTGACAATCACTGTACATTCACTGTCCCACAGCAACAGTATCCTCCCTAAACTACCATATTAAGAAAAATCAAAGAACCATTAGTATAAGGGGAATAGGGCTTATTTGTTTTATTTTTAAATGATCCCCTATGATATAGTTATGTGCCTAAATTAGGAAACGATTACTAAGACACTCTCAAAAAATGCAATCTTTCACCACATGTCCTTCCTGCTGAAAATCCTTTGAAATGGGTTTTCTTTCTGGTTTCATTCTGTCTTTATTCCTGCATAGGTAAACTGGCAATGTTTCATCTTTTAAGTCAATGGTGAAGAATGTCAATAAAATGTGTTTACAAATAATACTTAGGGCTTCATGCTATCTGTTTGGATACAGTAATCATTTCAAAGCCGACAGATGGGATGGCATCTGATAAGTAATATCTCAACATTTTATATAACTTTTATCTCCTGTGTATGAAAAAATCTTGTCAAATAAAAAATATAAAATGAGATCTTTTATTTATCTAAAATTTTTGTTTTTTAATACTATAATACATAATCTTTGTGCAAATTCAAATATTATAAAACTGCATTACTTCAAAGACTAAAGACACCCATTTATTCAAAATTCTCCCAAAGCAGCTATCATTAGTAGTTTCCTACTCAAATACTAATATAAATGTATATTTAATAGAAATGCAATAGTCTACATGTCGTTTTCGCTTCATTTACCCTGGACCCACTGACATATCAGTACACACAGACATCTCAATCTTTAACACCTGTAGAGTTGCACAGCATCCCACTACTTTGATATACGGAAACTTCTTATCTAAGTCCTTACTGATGGTGTTTAACGTTGTTTCTACCTGGTTAGCCAACAAAAACAACGCTGCAGTGATTATTCTTGTATTTACAGCCTTCTGTACTTCCAAGAGTATTTCTACTGGATAAATACCCACCCCGAATGACAGGGTTTGCACGACTGCTACTGTTAGGTTAAGATGGCCCCTTTATTTATAAATACACAGAAATACCAGGTTAAAATTCTGCTCTCACCTTTGTTGCCAAGGATTTGAGTTTTCCCAGTAGGGACTGTTTATTGGAATATACAACTTCCTCTTCATTATCTTCTCCTTCCATGATAGCACAGCTGTCTGCAGCTGGGAGTTCACACTCTTTTGAGTTTGTCGTCATTACTAATTTGGAATACTTGTACTCCAGTCTAAGTAGCGGCAAATAAATAAATAAAGTGGCTATTTAATATAAATTAATATTTATTTGGGGTGGTCATACACCAGCTAATTAAATCGTCGTGGAGTACAGCTGCTCCACCAACATATTCCCTTCACCCATGGTCATAACACTATGTGTTCTCATTAATCTACCATCTACACACCAATCGTTTCCAGAATTTCAGAGAATCAGTGCAATGCAGTTAACGCTATCATACTTATTTTACAGTGATTCAAGTGTCCAATTATGAAAACCCTTTGAAAAACAAAGAGAAGATTAGAGGTCTGAACGCATTTTTTTCATTTATAAATATCTGGGAACTAATTTACTATGCAGTTTTCCAAAGTTTAGTTCGTAGGATGAGAATATTACATAGGCGAGTGATTTGGTCTTTACTATTTCTATCACTCATTCCTTTCTACTCCCCACCCCAGATATTACTACTGTGCCTAGATAATACAGTAGAGAACTTTCACAGCCCAACTGACATGTAAATCATTTTAAAAGAGCCAAATCATATAATGTATCAATATACAATTGGAAGTTGTATAATGTATCAATATACAATTGGAAGTTACACTCAATACTCAACTTCAGATTCTGAAAGTCCTGGAGTATACACTTAGTCTGTTTCTTTGCAAACATCTGCCCACAAGAAATTGAAAGAGAAAAGATGAGGCAAGAAGGCAGCATGATGTCATGAAAAGAAAAACAGACACACAGAGAAAATCTGCCTTCCTTTCTGAGCTCTGCTCCCATCTACCTGAGTAGCCAGGATCCTCTGTTCCTTGTTTTAGAAAAACAACAGATCTAATTCAATTACCTCTAATGTTCTCTGATCTCTCTGTTATCAGAACAACAGTCATTTCCATTTGCTTTCTTAAAGGCCTTTCCTACAACTCCTTCACTACGACAAATGTCTTGTGTCTCTGAGAGAAACTGCTGGATATAATGATTAACTCTAAAAGATTCGCAACAAAAGAGATTTCTCAGTTCTTATACAGAGGTTACTTACTTCTGATTCTTTTTCCAGAAGTAGCAAGTTAGAGCCACCAGCAAAACGGCTGCAAAAGCTCCCACACCTGCTCCCACTTTTAGCCAAAAGTCAACTGTTTCGCAGGTTGACAACTTTTTCTCAGGCAAAGAAATTCCTTTAATGCACCACTTAGGTTCATTCCACACGTATAAGGTTTCCTTTGAAAAAATGACATAAGAAATGAGATTTAGAAGGAGAAGGGTTTTGCTAACCGTTATTCACAGTAGGCAGAGAGGATTATTCGGCTTTCATCTAACCGAAGCTCCAAAAAGAGAGGAAAGGGATATAGAAGAGAGAGAATAAGGAAACGATGAATGAAAATGTAACAAGACCATGAATTGTCAGATCAGAAGGCTTGCTTCAAGCTGAGGGGGTTGAATAAAAAGGACTCCATCTGGATATATCATTGGAGCTATTTTCTTCAAATTTCTGATGAGTCCTGACTTCTTAAATCATGTTTTTAAATGAAAGCTTAGATTGTTTCATATAACTGACTGGAACGGGTTTCACCCATTCATCACGTAGGTCCATTTCCCCAAAAAGCCTCTCCGCTGAGTGAAAGAGCAGAGCCCGGACCCAGGACATGTAAGTGCAGCATGACCGGCAGGCTTTGGTGTGGGGCAGGCACACAGACTGCACGCCCCGCTTCCCCTGGCCAAAATAAGGAGGGTGTTATTCTGGGTCATCACTACCCACGTGAGGGACTCACTCTCGTCCTCCCAAAGCACATGACCCAATTTTGTTAGGGCAATGTTTTCAAACTGCTCCCTGCAATCGACTAGTAAATAGTAAAATCAATATACTGGGTCTCAACCAGCAATTTTTTAAAAAATAAACAAATAAGACAGATTAGAAACAAAAATCAGAGTATAGTGCATGGTTCCTTATGTATTTCAACATACACAATGACAGGTAGCAATTTGCATGATGATTATATCCAGTGACATTAAATGACACAAGGCATTACATTTTTTGCTCATCGTGCCTCCCGAAATTTTCTGGTGAATGACAGTCATTTATCAACACCCTAACAGAAGCCTAACACCATAACGTTTAATGTCACACACATGCACACACTTTTACAGTTGGTCCTGAAGTGAACGATGTGCAGAAGATTCCCATCTACTCTGAGGAAAAATTTCAACCAAGTTTTGGATAAGAACTTTTTAGAAAGGACATTAGTAATTGAAAAAAATTTTCGTGTAACACTTTCATGAAACTTAGTGTGAATAAATTATTTTTAAAATGGCTCGCATGATTTTTATAAGAAAGATGAGGAATGAGGAGGCATGAGCAAGTTGAACTGCTGCCTCTTCAACTGAAGGACATTCCAACAAGAAAAATAGACTATGAAAGGGTTTATATGTTTGTATCATATATGCCACACCCAATGCAAATGGCAAGCTGTAATGTCCAAGGACAGTCTTCTAAACAAACCATTAAAACTTCATAATTAAAAAGATACATACGTATAAACCCAGAATTGTTAACTTTTCCATAAGCTCCTCAAATTGTTAAAGAAAAAATAAATCAAGCTGTTGGCAGAATTTCTTAGTCATTCTATAACTTAGCCATTCTCTGAATCTCTTAGTCGTTCTATTAATTAGGAAGATTTATCCCTTCATTAGGCCATGTCTTTGGGAAACAAGAAAATGGCTGACACTGCGGCTGAAAAATTTCTTCTTCCAGCATGTAGGGCTATTTTGCGAACAGGGTGAGATCAATTTGTTGATAAATTTTAAAACTTACCTCTCAGTGATAACACAGTATCTCTTCAAATCGCTACTACTGTATAACATTTAGAAGTAATGCTTAGTACATACTTAGAACCTGGTATAGATTTTTGAGATCCATTTTGATAAGAGGTTTTATCACAAGTCATGTAGCTCTTTTAGTTTATACCAGCTGTATGTGGAGGACTTGTAGTGTGTAAATTTAACTTCACGTGCTTCTGGATTATACGTCTTTACAGAATTGGAAAAGCAGACTCTCAGTCAATATAAAGTGCAAAACTGTAAAGAATGAAGCAGGCAATAGGATGGAAATGCAGAATTATGAAAGCAATTAAAAGATACTCTTCGCAATATTTTGCAATCATTGTTTTTTCCTATCTTGAGGCTTTGGCATCCAAAGAAATCCACCCTTGTTCACCGACATAATGGAAACTGCAGTGAAAGTTGTCATTCGTATTGAAAGCTCACCAAAGAGCAGACTTTTCGAAATATATTATTCAGAGATTGGAGGTGAACATACCCACTTACTGCATCAAACCCATTTGTTCGTTCTTGCAACGGAATACACTAAGGAAGGACATTTCATATTGTACTAGTTGAAGCTCGATCTCATCTGGCAAATATTTTCAAAATTGACATCTAAGTATTAACAGAAGGGCATATTTAACTGATTTTGGTATTTCTCAAAGTAGATTTGGAACTATGGGTGGGGTATGGGGGGAATTACATACCTCAACATGTCAAACACAACAAAGTGTTTCAAAAGGTATTATTCTTAAGGCAAAAACAGACATTTAAAAAGCATCACCTCGCAACTAACTGTTCCTAACATAAGATGTTGAACTGAGGTTTTTCAATGAAGACAGTTTGAATGAGATAAAACTAGAGAAATTGTTGCCACCCCACTGTCTTAAACTTCTAATCACTACCTTCCAGAAGAGAAGTATTAACGAACGTTTGGATAGAAGGTCATTTAGCTTTTCAAAACTCCTGAGTTAAACTTGGTGGCCAAAGAAGGGAATGCACCTTTTATTTTTGATTTACTCTTAAAAAAAAGGATTATAAGATAGTAAGTTTAGCATAATTTTAGAGAAAAGATAAATTTCCACCGTAAAGCATAAAAAAAGGTATCAGTATTATTAGGAGGATTAAAAGGAAATCATTTTTTTTGTGAGGCTGGAATTTTTATCCTTAACCCCCTTAAAACTGTTGAAAAGAACCTGGCTCAACCGTGCCCTCGATGTGTGAGCAGTGTTGTATCTGTGGGCTCTGAGCCAGAATGAGCTATCTACAGGTAAGCACACTTAACTGAATTAAACATTTCCTAATTTTCTGATTAGTTTGTCTATGTGGAGACTTCTCTGTTTTGTATTAAAGTATTAATAAAAACATTTTATATTGTTATCCCTATACTTTATCATAAAATATGAAAATAAGTATTGCTCCATAAAACAATTTTATTTTTAGGCATATCTCTATGTGTCTGAGTTTGTGTTTGTGTACTAGGCTTCATGTACAATGTCTTTCTTACTACAGGTTCACTGTCATTCAAGTATGAAAAATACCAATGTAGAGAACAGTTCTCAATGTTTTTTTTTTTATTCTTAAAGGTAGACTGCTTCCAAATACGCTGAATGTATGGCTTTGGGTGAGGACATTCAGATTTTTTCTCCCTCTTCAACCCTCCAACCTGCCAACTATTAGCTCCTTAAGACTTTCCTGGAAAGAACAGCTCCCCTGTTCGATTCCCTTACCCAGTGAGCACCCTCGCATCATTCCATGCTGACCCGAAAGTCAGTCCTATCCCATCTACCTTCTAGATCTCAGAAATCCCACTGGAATCTCTGATCCTCTGATGCCCATTCTCCAGTAGGGTCCCCACCACTGGTACTGATTTATCCTCTCATCTGTGCTTCTTCAATGTCATTTCAATGGACTTTGGAGAGAGTGAAGTGGTAAGTCATCTTCAAAGAGGTAAAGCTTGGGTTTTTATATGGTACTAGTCAAAGCTGGTGCAGGGAAGTGGGTACTCTCAAACACTATTAGTAGAAAAGCAAATTGATGCAACCAAAGCAATTTAGTAACACGTCTCAAGAACCTTAAAAATGTCCCATCTCCTCGAATCCAGTTAATCCCTTTCCAGTAATAAACTCTAAGGAAATAATCAAATGTCTAACAAAGATATTCATTACAGTCTTATTTACAAAAAGATGGTTTTCAATTTTTTCTTAAATGTCCAACAGGGGAATTATTAAATCCCAAATTGCATATATAATAGCACATTTTTCAATAACTAAAAGTCATGCTTTTTTAAAAAAATTTAATGACAAGGGAAGTGTGTTAAAGGCATAATGGAAACAAAAAAATACAGAGAAGAGAATCTCAACGTGACTTTAAAAAACAAGTAAGCAAACGAAGGACTGCAGAGGAAATAGAGAGTAGGATCTTGATTTACATATATGTGGGAGGGGTGCACGTGAGATTCACTCTTTATGTATGCTTCTTGTGGAGAGTCAGTTACATCATCCTCATCTTAATTATACCTATAACTGCATTATATAAACCAAATTTGGGTTTAATTATATCATTTCCTTATACTCTGGGTAAATATCCATAGTCTAGAGCTCCCTTGCTATAGTTCATTTTCCCCAATTCCAGTACACATCTTCAGCTACCTCAACATGTGGGAGTCTAAGCATCAAACTTGATTTTAAATACATATTAATATCTCATTAAGTTAACTATAAGCTTCAGCCATGCTACTGAATCTCAGTTTCTATGGTGTAAGCAATGCTGGACTAAACAATTATATTTTCAATGACACAGTTCTGCTTAGATAGGTTTGCCTCTTACCTGAAATCCCCTCTTACAGGCACCCTCAATCTCATGGAAGTCATGCTCTGTGCACAGAGGGCAAGCTTCAGCACTCTCCCACAGGAAATAGAATGTACATCCGTCACAGGTACCTGCTGGACACTTGCTGAAATAAAACAGGAAAAACAACAAAACCAACAGCTTTTGTAACACCTTCAATTGAGTCCAATCAACATCTGAATGCATGCTGCATACATACTGGGAAGCAATGCATGGATGCTGAGGAAACACATGAAAAATAATCTAAAGGAGACAAAAACCACAACAAAATACCACTTTGTACCTACCAAGATGGTTAGCATCAAAACAACAGATATTAACAAGTGTTGTGAGGATGTGGGGAAATAGGAACCTTCACACACTGCTGATGGGAATATAAAATGGTGCAGCATTGGGGGAATCTGGCAGTTCCACACACAATTAAACACAATGACCATACGATCCAGCAATTGCACTCCTAGGTAAATATCCAGGAGAAATGAAAATACTATGTCCATACAAAAAAACTTGTATATGAATGTTCATAACAGCATTATTCATAATATCCAAAAGGTGGAAACAACCCAAATGTCCACCAGCAGATGAATGGATGAACAAAATGTGGTATATCCGTACGATGAAATATTACTGAGCCATGAAAAGGAATGCAGTACTGATACATGCCCCAACTTGGATGAACTTCAAAAATGTTATGCTTAGTGACTGAAGCCAACCAAAAATTCCACGTATTGTATGATGTTATTCAGATGAAAGTCCATAACAGGGAACTAGATTTCAACATTTGGAAGTAGGTTAGTGGTTGCTCAGGATCAGGAAAGGGGCTAAGATTTAGAGAGGTAATAGCTAAAGGGTATGGGATTTCTTTGTGAAGTGATGAAAATTTTCTAGAATTGGCTACAGTGATGCTAGCACATATCTGAATATACAATAACCACTGAACAGTACGCTTTAAATGAGTGAATTTTAATGGTCTGTGAATTATATCTCTATAAAGCTGGGGAGGGGGTTAATTTAAAGAAACAGGTACAGATAATGACCCAAAAAAAAAAAAAAAAAAAGCTGCCAGAAAGTTTCTTGGTGAATCCTTACTGACTGAAGCAAGAAACTATTTGGAAAGATTCTAACGGGAATGACTATTTTGTTCATGAATCCATTAAAACCAGGGGAATACTGTTCCCTTAGTTTGCCTACTGCACTTCCCCTAAGTCAAGCTGTGTAAATACAGGGCATTGCCCTGAAAACCTCCTTCAGACCTCAGCTGGTGCAGAGTAGAGGTGTCCTGAAACAACTAATAGCAAAAAGGTAGACACACAATAATAGAGAGAATCCAAAAAACATCCCTTTTTAAGTTTTCATTTCAAATGCCTTTCTGATGATACAGCACCCAAACCTTTAATTTTCAGTCTACCAGAAAGGTAAAATTTCATATTGTCAGTTAACTAAATATATTCTAAGGTACCCTAATAGGAACATTGCAACAAATTTACATGCCTGAAAATTTATGCATTTTCACATGTCTATCTTTCTGAAGTGTCCGTGTACTGCAGACTAAGTGGACATGGGTGGGAGGTAAACAAAAGCAATGTTCTGTACGACATACTTCAGAAATAGAGACCCAGATTGTCAAAACTAAGAACAATGGCGAAGAGCAACTCTTCGGAAAAATGACTTGACTCTCTTAACTGCCTTAATTTCTCTGTTTGTAAAAAGAGAGTAATAAATATATTCAGACTAAGAAGCAAAGAGAGATTTTTTTTAAAAGGAAAGTACAATAGATGAAAACCATGCCACTTAAAAAATTATTCCTACCCTCTACCTTCCAGATCAGTAAAAGCAACTCAAAATTGCTCTTTTGAAAAAGATTGTGTAATCAATGAGAAAATTTCTTCAAGAATGCCTTATCTGCATAACAATGCTTTGCAACTTTCATAATAATTACACTTTTCTGATCATTTAGCAAAAATTACCAATAGGCTTTCCAGCTCAAGTCTTTCCTCCCTGAATTATTTTCTGTTTTATTTTTCCAACATAGAAAAACTTTAAAAGGAGAAAAAACTGTTTACATCGGAAAGATGAAAGAGTAAGTATGCTAAAGGTTGAGAAAAAAGAACTCAACAAATGAAAAAAAGGAGAAAATTAATCAAACTGGCAAAAAGCTCTACAGAGAAGACTTGGGTTACGATTCTAACTGGACTTTCAAATGATTCTGTGTTTTTCCGTAAGTGATTCAACCTCCCTCCCCACTGTATCACTTTTATAATTTGTCAAAAGCAGAATGTCTGCTATACTGCATTCGTAGGGTGGTTATAAAGGATAAAATGAGAGAACAATTTGGTAAAGTTTAAAGCGCTACAAAATATAAAAGACCATTAACAATGCACACCACTTTCTAAAGAACTGGTAGAGCCAAAGAAACCAACAAACAAACAAAAATCAAGATGTTAATATAATTTATAAAGCTGCCATTAGATGTCAAAATACTACAATGATTCAGTGTCTTTCCTTGGCAGACTTCACTTTTTAAAAGAAACTCTTAGGTTAAAAGCAGTTTAGTTTAGAGTCAATTCTTTAATTCTTTTAACTCAATCAATCATTTAAAATGTGGAATATCCAAATTTGATTCTTTGTTATAAACCTAATTGTCACTGTTTGAATCAGGCCTTCCCTGGGAAGTAACAAGAATGTATGAAGCAGTAATCATTTCAATAATGCTTACATATACAAACGAAAATAGAAAAAAAGATAAAAGAAAAAAAGTAGTAAGATAGATAAATCTTTTATTGCCAGATATGTGAAATACCTTTCCCCTTGCTGACCTGCGTCACCACCATCTTTTCCTCCCAACCAGCTTTTTACAGGTGTCGCTAATTGTGCTTCTCCGTAACTTTTGCTCTACGTGACCACCACAGAAACCAATGAGTACACGTTCAAAGAAACGAGACAAAGTTTGTACAGTCTGGCATCCCCTGACACAGGCAATGCTCTCTGACCTCCTGGTGACTCCTTTTGGCTTTGGAATCTCAGGAAGCTCAGCCTTTCTCTGCCAAGGATGCCTTGTCATTGGCAGAAACCCTTCTTGTGTAGGGTCCATAAAACACCACTGCATCTTGCTCTAATTTTGCTTGCCCTAAGGCTGAAGAGCATCAATCACTTATGACAGAGTTTGAACACAAGATATTTTGACCTAGAAGCCTTAGATCTATAAAATTTTACCCGTGTCCTGCAAAAAATCTCCCTTTCTACAGGTTCTACCCTTGGTTAACTCGCAAAAGCCAGCATCTGATGAAGACACGGACAAATTATATTTACTGACACTACCTAGTCCCTTATTTTTTAAAATTTTTTAAAACAGTTTTATTGAGATATAGTTCAAATAGCATACAATTCACGATATAAAAGTGTACAATTCAATGGATTTTAATAGAGTCACTATATGTGCAACCATCACAGTCCATTTTTAAATATTTGCAAAATGAAAATTCTTTATCCATTCATTTGTGGATGGATATTTAGGTTGGATAGCATACTTGGCTACTGTAAAGAATACTACCATAAAACATTAGGGTGTAGGTATCTTTTTGAATTAGTATTTTTATTTTCTTCGGAACTGCTGGATCATACGGTAATTCTATTCTCAGTTTCTTGAAGAACCTCCATAATGTTCTCCACAGTGGCTGCATCCATTTACATTCCCACCAACAGCATACCAGGGTTTCCTCTCCTCCATTCTTGCCAACATTTATTCGTGATTTTGTTAACGATGGCCACTCTGACTGGTGTGAGGTGATATCTCATTGTAGTTTTGATTTGCATTTCTCAAATAGTTAGCCATGTTGGGCATTTTCCCTGTGCCTGTTGGCCGCCTATATGACTTCTTTGGAAAAAAATGTCTATACAGGTCTTCTGTCAACTTTTAAATTAGTTTTTTTTTTTAATATTGAGTTATATGAGCTGTTCATATATTTGGGGGGTTAACCCCTTATCAGGCGTATTTTCTCCCAGTTAGCAGGCTACCTTTTCATTTTGCGGATGGTTTCCTCGGCTGTGTCAGGCCCCAGGGCTGGGGTGTTCACTACGTGGCTCAAACGGCTCCCTCCTCAGGGAGGATCTCCAAGCCTGTGACGTCTCCCTCCTCTTCTGTGTCCCCTCCTAGGGGCACAGGTCCCGACCTGATCGCTTCTCTTCCCTTCCTCCTCGACTCCATGTGGATCTTTCTCTACAGTCCTGGTCATAGACGACCCCTCCTGCCAGTCTCCAGTTTGTTTTCGGCGAGAACTGCCCCATATGTAGATGGGCTTTTTTGTTTTGTTTTGTTTTTGTTTTTTTGCAGTATGCGGGCCTCTCACCGTTGTGGCCTGTCCCGTTGCGGAGCACAGGCTCCAGACGCGCAGGCTCAGCGGCCATGGCTCACGGGCCCAGCCGCTCCGCGGCATGTGGGACCTTCCCGGACCGGGGCACGAGCCCGTGTCCCCTGCATCGGCGGGCGGACTCTCAACCACTGCGCCATCAGGGAAGCCCTATCCTCTGGCTTTTAATAACTTAAAATGAATAGACAACTGTTTTGGCTTTAACAGTCCTTCCCCAAATACCAACAAAAACACTAGCATCCAATAGATCCAGCGACTTTGATAGAGAGACTCTAAATCAGAGCCTGTGAAGAAACCCCTGGTGTGCTCGACCTCTGAACACTATCAGGACAGAAGTGTGAAGCACCCCTTTTGTGAGAGACAATCTCCTCAGACAATCTCCTACACGTAGAATGAAAATGAATTTGGATTTTGAAGGAGGTTTTCACGAAACGATTTTGGATTTATTTATCAACTACCCAAGCAATTAAATACGGTCCTAAGTTGTAAGAAAGAGAGGAGGAAGATTTTCCTCTAACTCAGAACGTTAATAAAGACGACCCTGTTTGAGGAAAGATGAGTCATTAAAAAGAAGGTACCAATCATTGGCAGATCAGTTGAGCTGTCCCCCGGATAAATGTGCTACTTGCCTCTGTTTAATGTGCTTCTTGGCAAATCTCTGTCTATAAGGGATAGGGGGAAATGACAACATGAAAGCACGATGGCATGAAAAGAACAACAGACACAGTCAAGAAATCATTCCATCTTGACTGTGGCACTCTATAGCTATGGGTCCTCAGTGTTTGCTACCGTATCAAGTAAATGGGTTTGATTGAAGGATCTCTAATGGGCTATGACATCTCCATTACCAGAGTAAACATGGTTCCCTCTACCTGTTTTCGAATAAGGCTTTTTAAAAACTTTTTCAAACCTTTATAAAACTTTGCTGTTAAAACTAACAGCAATTTCTCATGCTTTTGAAAGAGCACTTTGGACACGTGCTTAGGTCTAAATTTTTCCTAATGAAAGGAGAATCCCGGATTCCTCTAACCATGCAGGATCATGATTAGGGGTTTGGAAAGCCTTTTAGGCAGAAGCTGGAGAGGCATCTATTTACGGATATTAGTGGTCGATCGTGTTCGCAATTTTTTCTTTGGCCAAAGTACAAACTGCAGTAGAGAATCTCAAAAGTCCACTCCGACTCTGATTTCATCTGCCACAGACATCATGCTGTTAAGTTTAATTGAAAACGTCTCACACCCTCCAGATACTTTGTGGAATTAGAAACCAACTGCATTTGCCAGACCAAACAGACAGGCTGTTGTTTCCAACTGCTGTTTAGTAGGCGGCCCAGAATATTTGCCGCTCCTTCTGCACTGCATGGGAGATGCACGGAGAACACAGTTCCCCTCTTCTCCTGCCCCTTTCACTTTCTGTAAAGACATTCTCATTGATATTTTCCCTGGTCACCAAGACACAGAGCCCCGGCCAACATTACTACTGCCAAAGTCGCCTTTGCCTGGTTTGCCAAGATTCTTGGCCGAGAGAGAATTCCAGGGGATGGCATCCCTTCCCACTGCCAAGGACTCCCTATAGTGACTTCCTGGTCAGCACATGAGACTTCTGCAAGGCAACTGCCTGCTTAGCACCTTTCTTTCTCTCCTGGAGAACTTAAAGCTCAAATAAGAAAAATGCAAATTAAGTCCTCTTCAAAAGTAACCTAAGTAAATTCGGCTCTGTTAACATTTCTGTTAGTAGGAAATCTTTATTCAGCCCTACAGCTTAAAGAAAAAAAAAAAATTCTAATTATTTCCGGACAAGCTGCTGTTTCTCATGTTCTGATCCTGGTCCCAGAGCTCCCCCTCGTGCCCTGATGGAAATCGATTCAAGAAAGAATGAAAAAAGTGAGAGAGTGGCATGGACATACATACACTACCAAATGTAAAATAGACAGCTAGTGGGAAGCAGCCGCATAGCACAGGGAGATCAGCTCGGTGCTTTGTGGCCACCTAGAGGGGTGGGATAGGGAGAGTGGGAGGGAGACGCAAGAGGGAGGAGATATGGGGATATATGTATATGTATAGCTGATTCACTCTGTTATAAAGCAGAAACTAACACACCATTGTAAAGCAATTATACCCCAATAAAGATGTTTGAAAAAAAAAGAAAGAACGAAAGGCCAGCACATTTAGGTTGTGGGGTTGAAAGCATTCCCTAGAGACGTGGTCCTCAGACTTCAGTGTGTGTCATAATTATAAACAGAGCTTCATCAAAATATGGGTGAAGGCATCCACCCTGTAGACCACGACTTTTTAATTTAGCTTTTCAGAAAACCAAAATGCAAAACAACATGTGAGAATCTATGTCAGAAAACAAAAAAGTCAAATCTCCAAAATGGGGGTTAAGACCAATGGTTCTCAAATTTTAATATGTATCAGAATTGTCTTGTGTTTTTATAAATATTCCTGTTCCAAACACTCGGAAATTCTTTAGGTTTCAGGGAAGGCCTAGAAATCAGTTTTAAAATAGACACCCCACTCTGACGCTTTTGCAAAAATGCTCCTATAAAAGTGTTTCATCTTCAAGGAATTCATGGAAAAGACTGACAAGTACAGGTTTCTGGTAACTGACTATACTGCTGAACTGAATGAGTAAGCATTTTCAGAACTCTAATGGAAAACTGATGAATTCATAAAAGTGCTCACAGAAGATCGAGATAAAAAAAATTAATTACATGGGATCATAAACGTGCTAACAAAAGATCAAGATGAAAAAAAATTAATTACATGGGACTGAGCGAACTGATGAGGATGATTATAATTTTTGTGACTTTCTGTTTGAACCCAAAAAATGTGAGCTCAAGTATTAAAATGATTGATTGCTTTAAATAAATAAATAAATAAGAATAAATTTTAAGATTAAAAAAAAAAAGATAGACACCCCAAGATTTTCTGCTGCGTATGATCTTGGGGAACCCTTGCAAAGACAGTCAAGCAGAAGACACTGCCTGAGGTCAAAGGAGGAACTTAACTTTTCCTCTCCTCACAGGGAAAAAAATTAGTTTCTAGATGCCATCATTTAATATCATGAGACTATTACTTTCTTATTACGTTAAAACATCAGAATTCACCTTGGGAGAGTGAGAGTGATACATTTTCTAAAGGACAGAGTTAGTCTTCAGTAACATTATCTGCTTAAGTCATAGAGGCTCCTGGAGGAGGCTTCAGAAGTCATCCAGGTGGACTCCAGAGAAGTGAGTTGCTAGGTCCGAGAAAGGACCTCAGGAGTGCTATAGTAAGTAAAACAAACCTCTGAACTTGAAGTCACATGGTGGGATATCAGAGGACAGTGAAAGAATCTCTGCATACACCTTCTCAAAAGAAAGTGTGCTTGCTGCCTCCACTCCAGCGTGAACACTGGCACAGGGATCCTCCACCACACGATGCCCTTGAGCACCAGACTCCTGTTTCTTTCACTGATGTCCATTACCTTTTATTATGTATTGCGCTCATCACATTCTTCTCTCACCTTGAAAAGGTGAGGAGAAAAATTAATACATACATCTACGAGAACCAGAGTAACAGCGCTGGTAAGAGGTGAATGCTAGTATGCCTTTATGCATAGAAATGAGCCCAAAATACTATGTTATCACTGTAATTATTTTTAAGATGCCCAAGTAACTGGAGCAATGCTTAGACCACTGATTTCCAATCCTGATGTAACATACGCAGGATAGCTTAAAATCTCACAAAAGGTTACCGTGAAACTATCAAAAGCAAAATTAAGTCAATCATTTTTTTAAAGATAAATTTTTGCTAGCTTGATGGAGAAAAATGTGCAAATCAAATTATAATCCAAAGGTACCTTAACCCTAAACAGATTAGAAATAATCTACATACGAAACAATGAATAACTATAAAAAATAAAAATCAGGAGACACTTAAGCTTCACTCATGCCATGAAAACAGTCTTTAAGTTTACAGTTTTGAGTCCATGAAACTGCTTCTTTTCTCCTACTGGTCCCACCCAAAGTGGCTGTATTAATCAGATCTAGACTGTGGACAGCTGTTGCCTCGATGCCAATCAGTTAAATGAACTGTGTTAGGTAGTGTAAAGGTCAGACTCTACCTTGGTGATTTCGCCACCAGTGATCAGAAAACTGAAGAGTTGGAAATGCATCTAACCTGACCCTCATCCCCTTATAGAGAAAGAAACTATGGCACACAGGTTAGACTGCTTAATCTCAAATCTAGATTCTAGATCACCCAGATGGTCCCTTGCTGGGGAAGAACTGTAATCCAGGGAAGTTCCTAATCCAGCTCTCAAGAAAGTAGAGGCTAGATAGTTAAGACTCAATCCAAGGATACAAACAATATAGTTATATATTACTTAAATAATTTTCAAGACAATTAGACACTCAGGCAAACCAGACGAGAATATGTCATTGAGGAGACTGGGAAGTGCTGAGATTGGCAAGGGCCTATACCTCTCTACAGGCACCCAGCACGTCTGTACAACAAAAATCTACAGATTCTTTGTTCCCTTTCTGCTTTCTATCCATAGAGAACGTGTTTTAAAGCAGTAAGATTCTGGAGAGTTTTTCTTCCTAATAAATACAAATATGGAAGAATCATATAGAAATAAGACTACCTGGGTACTGAAATGGTTCCAGCTCCTGGTTTAGCAGGATTACACCTCATTTTCACAGCAGTTGATCGGCCTTTAACACAAGAGGTTGTAGTTGTAGAAGACCTATTGGAAGAGAAATGCTATTTCACAAAACATATATGACACACATTTCAAAGACAAAAATATCCTGTGTGTAATTGCTCCTATGCGCTATGAATAAACGAAAAAATGTATCCAAGTTCACTAATTTAGAATTTTAATACGTACTGAGTTCATTTACTTTCACTGACTATGAAAAGCTGACTGCTCCCCAGGTAAAGTCATACGCTATCATCAAAGGATTTAAAGCTATTGTAATTATAATCAAAATTAGAAGCAAAAGAATTTTTTAAGAGATTAGAGGTCATAGCGACTTAGGCTGGTGTTTTGATGTGTGAATTACAATTACTTTCTAGACAATGAAGTAGAGTCTCTTTATTGCCTAATTTAGAAGATTATATATATGAGAAAAATGACATAATGCTTTCTACATATTCCCCGTTTCCTATTTTTTACTAAGTCTTTCACTTACGAACCAATTACTGACTACCTATTAGGTATAAGCTACCATGCTAGGCACCCTGAAGTGATGTCCTTATGATTAAGAAAACAGTCAAGAGAAGCAGCATGTTCACTCACTTATAAAAGAAATGCACATCTGGTATTTGGCTTGGTGAAACTGGGAACATATCTTCTTTTATATTAATATTTTGCAATGTGGTTTCAACAGTCACTCCTAGACAAGAATAAAAAAGAAACTATTAAGCAATATGGGAAAATTAGGCTTATTTAGTCTCTGTATATCTAAATAGAAAATAACTTTACTTTGATGCTGTCATTTTACCAGAAATATCCTCTTAAATTAATGCATTCTTGGTAAGAACAATAAACGTTACAAAGTTTCCAGAATAGAAAATAAAAGATTCTACTCCCTAGTTTTGCAATTTTGCTTAAGTCACTTTACTTCCCTGATTCTTATGTCTTGAATTTGTAAAATGCATGCAATAATTTAGATGATCTCCACCGTCCCTTCTAGTTCGAACATTTCAACAATCTACTATTATCATTCTCAGCCTCCTGTGAGTTGTGTCAAACGAGCTGGGCTACTTTGCTAATGCAGCTTTTCATTCATTCACATTCATTATAGACACAAGTGACAAAACAAAATTTTTTGTGCCCTAATAATTTCCAGAAAAAAACTCCAAAATTTGTTTAATCTAGGAGTAAGGCATTCCCCACCCATCCACCCCAGGCAAAATGATAGCAGAGCCAAAATGCAAGCAATTACAGCAACCTGTGTTCTAACAGAGTTCTGATGCTGAGCACGAACTAAGTACCTGTCCTTGGTGCTGAAAATTATAGCTCGATTCCCCTGGAGTCTCTCACGATGGTTCTCAAATCTGGCTGCAGATTAGAATCATCTAAGAAGCTTGTTACATTGTTAGATTATCATATGCCTTGTTAGATCCCTAATCCCTACCCCAGATATTTTAATGAACTTGATCCTTAGGAATTACTAATTAGGGACCTGAATTATTCTTCAAGCTTCCCTAAACTTTCTAGACCGGAAAGACTGGAGGGACAGATGGGGAATAAAACTCAGCACATTCACTCCTGCTGTTTGTCACCAGATTACTTCTGGTATGAGAAGAGATGATGAAAACTGGTGGCAGATATTACGATTCAGGTTTATACTGTGTTTGTTTACTCTTCTTTTGTTCACAGTTTGGGGAGTTTATTATTATTTTGCTTAGAGAATCTGATGAAAGGCACAGACTCTCAGAAAACAACATATCACACAAGTTAATACCTAAATTCAGAAGCTTCTTGTATTCCCTGAGAACGATCAAAAGATCTCACTTGCAGGGGCTTTTTAACCATGTTATAAAGTGATGGTTTAGAATTACCTGTAGGTTTTAATCATCGATGGTAAGCACCAGTGCAATGACAAGTTATCAGTACCATAATTTTAGAACAAATGCATGCATGCATATACGAACCAAATTAAACTTACCTAAAAATACATCTGCCAGAATGATGGATTGTGACGATAAGGCTGCTCGGAAGCCCTTACTTTCAGAAGGAATAATAGTTGACTGACATACAAACGCTCCTACCAAGTTCGTGTAATCATCTGACCCTGCCACCATTTCCTTTACTGTGAAGTCTGTTATATTGTTGGTGCAGAGAGCCAACTTCTTCCCCTAGGAAAATAAAGTCATAAAGAGGTTCACTGAAGGTCAGTCTCTAAACTGGATCTCACCTAGCTAGTGATTCTAGCAGAGCATTGGCTCTCTCCTCACCACAATTCTGGTTTAATTGATCGGGTGTGGGCCCAGGCACCAGTTCTTTTTAAAAGCTCTTGAGACAATTCCAATGTTCAACCAGGCTTGAGAGTCCCTGAAGTTATAATGAATACAGTAATTCAAGGCTGCACTGCTGCCCCAACTACAAGCATCATTTGTGCTGGATGAAAGCCATCTGACTTAAGGAAATATAAGTCATCTGTGAAATCTTCAATTCTTAGGACAACAATGTGCATAAAGGAACCAGAAAACTGCCGATGAAGGTTTTAATAGCAAGAAAAAGGACTTGCTCTTCCTTCTCCTGTATAGGCCTGTGTGTGGCAAAAAGGTAATGTCAAGGCTGAAAAAGAAAACGTAAAAGCCTAGGACAACAACTGAACAGCTGGTCACTACAAGTGTCTTTATTCACCTACTCTTAGACTCAGTGATGTGGATCCGCTCAAGTACACAGTATGTTGAAGGGTATACAGGAGCTTACTTTTTTTTTTTTTTTGCGTTACGCGGGCCTCTCACTGCTGTGAACTCTCCCGTTGCGGAGCACAGGCTCCGGACGCGCAGGCTCAGCAGCCACGGCTCACAGGCCCAGCCGCTCCGCGGCATGTGGGATCTTCCCGGACTGGGGCACGAACCCGTGTCCCCTGCATTGGCAGGCGGACTCTCAACCACTGTACCACCAGGGAAGCCCTGAATATACTTTTTTTTTAATTTATTTATTTATTATACTTTTTATAAATATGGTAACTATAGCTATTTCCCTATTTATATATATAGTACTAATACTCCTTTCATGTTATAGAAAAATAATACTATAATTACTGAAACACATGCAGAGGTAGAATATAATATTCAGTCTTTTGCCTATTGCCTTGTATATAGCAGCTACACGCCCTTTTATGCCTGCAGAGAATACAGGATTAGTGTATAAATTTTTCCTTCTGATTTTTAAATATTACTTTTGGAGGTTTTCTTCTCAAATACAGATTTCCCAAAACTTACTTTTCCCACTATTTTTTAAGGCTACCTAATTGTTCTCAGCTGTCTCTTTAAACATGGAAATAAATCTCCATTTTCCCAAGATTTTTCCCTTTCAGTACAGTTGAGAGGCCTTAATTTGGCTAAACCTCCTTTTTTTTTTTTTTTTTTTTTTTATTACGCGGGCCCCTCACGGTTTTGGCCTCTCCCGTTGCGGAGCACAGGCTCCAGACGCGCAGGCT